TTTCCCCTGCATGGAAATCATCAATGCATTTTGCATAGGGCCCTGACTTCCATCAGTACCAGCCTTGGTATTTTAATTATGTAGTGTGGGGCAAATCAATCTCTAATAGACAAAATGCCTTATCCCATTTGTAATGCCTTAACTAGACAACATCTCTTTTATTTCTTTCACTTGACCTTTTTTTCATGTACATTAAAATGCATCAAAGCTTATTCTGTATATTTATGCTCAGTAGGTTCCTGCCATGCATATGCATTCATCTTTTTTTTTTTTTTCTGCATGAGGTTTTCAGAGAAAATATTGGTGTGACACAATCCTGTCCTTTCCTCCTTTCCTGTCTCCAAGATTTAGAAGATCTCGAGATTGCTGGTGAAGGTGCTCAGTACTGGCTCTGTTTCTAATACTGGTTCTTTATCACTACCTAAACTCTAGGATGAGCTACCTACATAAACAAATGTATCTCCACTGAAAAAACTGGCTTGAACATAAAACTGTGATATTGGCACTAAATAACTGACTGAGTAATGAAGGCAAGTAGCCCGACATTCCTCCTAGCTCGTAAAAATTTCCAGCCACCCCCTAGTTTGTCCCAGACACCAGCTGTTCTTTAGGCCAAGTTCAGCACTCAGCACACGAACTTCCTGCTGTTTTATTCCCACTCCAACCTCAGTTCTTCTAGCAAAGTTGGAGATGCTACTTATTTCAGTACCCAGCATAGGCAACTAGAGATCACGGAAGGCACATTCTCATTTTTTCTGCAGAATGTATGTACTTAAAATCAGTGGACCAAATCCTCAGGGAATGGGTTTGATGTCTTAGTTCCCTTTTCCAGTAATCTCCTTTAGAAGCTATAGATAGAAACTTAATGCTGTTTCAGAATGGCAAGGAAAACCTTTTGTGAACTTAGTAAATGTCTTCAAGCTGTATTTTATCTCACTTAGATATGACTGAGGCCCTGTTGGTCCAGCTACAAACTGCATTCCTGAATTTTGAAAGAATGGCTCCATGCAATTTCAAAGCAGGAAGAAATACTTTTAATAACCTTTTGAGTTGAGAGTGGTATTGTATTACCTGAGAACTGAAAGTGAAATACTTTCACAGGAGGCAGGGAAAAAGTCATGCTGACAACCAGAGGGTTAACAGCCTATACTCAGTAGTTCATAAGACTTAGCAATATTTTCAAGGAAAGGCTCACTAAAAACATGAAGGTAAATGTAAAATAGGATAAAATGCAAAGTAGACTTAACAATAGATGACCTCTGAGTATCTTGAATAATAACTAATGTTATGGATAAAGGAAATAAGGTGGTTATAACCTATTTAGACTTCATTAAGCATTTGATATAGAAAATAATTGCTTATTAGTTAGGGATCAGTATAAAGTGGAAAAAGAACTGGATAAGAGGAGATGGAATGGCTGATGTGCAAAAGCTGTGTCTATATTAGCAGGCAATGCAGCACTACAGGAAGAAATACACAAAGCACTTGGTCCTCAGGACCCAATATCCACACTGTAGGTGGAAGGTGGCTTCCGACCAGCTCTTGTCAGGTCCCATGGACTGAACTCTGAGTAGTATCTGGAGCATAGCAGGGGCACTGCTGGAGAGCATTTCTTGTTTGGTTCCGTGGGAAAGGAACCCAAACTGGGTGCACTACTTTGTAGAGCAAACCAAAGTGTGAAACAGTGATAATGGTCATTGCCAAGGGCACCACAAGGGCACAGCCTCGATGGCTGGAACAACTGAAGCAGAAGAAAATTGGAGCATGAAATGAAAAGCTCAAAATTTGAACTGCATTGCCTGGTTTTGGTGCTTTGGGGTGGTAACTGAACAGCAAAGTTGTAACAGTGGCACTGACATACACGTGACTGTGCACTGGGACCGTAGCTGGTCTTACCTGTTGCAAGGCAGATTCTTGAAGAAACTAGAATGTCACATCATCTTCCCAGTTCTCCCTTTCTTCTTCACCCAATTCTTAAGGATATAAAACATGCCATTACAATGGATGCCCATGGATGTGCAGTAGGAATTAGTGGTACTACTCACCAATGTGAGTAATGGAAAACACCTTTCTTCATCTCCTGACCATTATTCCAGTACAGCTCAGTAGGCCACTTGCTTTATTTAAGATGCAAGTGCATCATATTCACCCTGGCATCTGCTGTAAACCTCAGATCCTTTTTAGCAGAGCTTCTCCACAGCCAGCTGTTTCCCAGTCTGTACTGAGACATGGGGAACCCTTCACTTCTTCCTGCACTTCAGGAGCTTTCCATTGCCAAGCCCTCAAGCTTACCAAGGTCTTTGCCATTTGTTGTCAGCCATCTAGAACTCAGAACTCGAAGGACAGGTCTCCATTTGTGGCAGAGGGCTGCACTACTTTAAGAATCTCAATGGAAACAGGACTAAATACAGTAGGTTTGACACTGGGAGTTTCCTCTTCAGAAGCAAAGAACACCATGAAACAAGTTTTTATGATTGTGACTGTATTTCCAAGCTTCTCATTTTGTCAGATTCACCAAAGGCTGCCTCCACTTGCATGGGACTATCTCCATTTACAGGCCAGCCAGGCTTCCACAAACCTCAGCAGCAAACACTGTTTCCTCACATTTGAAGAATTAGGCCCAGTTAGCACGGAAAGTTTTATGCCCCATACGGGAAGATGAAGATGGACACTGACACCTCTGCTGGAAGGGCGCGTACAGTTGACTGTATCCTGCAGCCTGTAAGAAAACATGTCTCCAGTGCCTCTACTCACGGTATTTTAAGGATTTCAGTGGCCACCTAAACTGTCTGAAGTGCTCTGCCACTTCTCAGGCGCTGTAAAGGTATCACCTGAAGCCCAACACTGCTGTCTGAGACTCTACAAGCCTGCAGAGTAAACTCTGGAGTACGTGTTCAGCTCTCGAAAGGTGACGCCTGACACAGGAAAGATGCATTATCTTGAGACTGTGAAAATGTTCAAATACGTCAGTGTTGGCTTTATTTTTTCTGACAAAGATGTTATTTTTTTCTTGCCAAACACGTTTATTTAGACAGTGTTAAAATTTGTACTGTTTTCAACCACTGAAAAAGGCAGCTGTTGGCCAAAATTTTCTACATTAATGGAAGCTGTAAAGTGTATGTGCTTACAGAACACCTTCTCTCCTGTTTTTTTTTTTCTTACCATCTCATATGACTGATGGGCAAATATTTAACAAGCAGTGTCTACTCCACAAATGTACAGATACTAATAACGCACGAAGGTATTTTAGAACAACTAATTTCCTGTAAGTATATGGGAGATTAAATGGCAAAATCTTGAAGTCCTTATGCGGGATTTCTTTGCTTCTTTAATGGTTCACTCTATGGCTGATGTCTACATAGATAATATCTCATTTTAGATTTGACCAATATGCAAAGGTGCAGCCAGCCCCATCCAAGGGTAAAATACTTTCATATCAAAGCTCGTTTGTGATGGATCAGTGATTCAGGAAGCAAAGAACCCAGCTTCCTACCTCCCTGAAGCAGCCTGTGCTGTACCACTTGTCACATGCCATGAATCCATGTAGCACTGTGGCAGTCCAGCAGGCTCCATGCCTCAGGCATCCTCTTCTTCACTGGCAACATGGATCTAATAAAGAGATGAAACAAGCACTAACACACTCACTTATTTGTAGCCAACAAATGCACAGGTTACACCCCTGATGGAGTGCCTGTACCATGAACAGGGACTGCTAAAGATAAGACGATTGGAGCTGGATTTTCTTCCTTGCCTGATGCCCATTTAAAAGGGTGATGTCAGCTCATCCTTTTTGCAAACATCCAGCACTTGAAACCAGCACTCTGATGGACATGAAAAGTTGCTGCACAGGAAGCTGGGCCATTTCCACAAGGAATAAGGAGTGGGCTAGAGTTTGACCCCATGTAAAGTATTACTAGAAGAGGTTAGGGGCAGGAAAGTCTGTATTTTTTCCTGCCTCCCAGTCATCAGACTCAGCTCTCCAGGTGACAGACAACAAACACACCAGTAACAAACCAAAGAACTTTCCAAATGGGCAATTTTGGCACAGAAACTCCCCCAGAGTTTTTTGGTTGGTTTTGTTTATTTTATTCTTTTTTTTTGTTTGTTTTGTTTGTTTGGGTTTTTTTTGGGTAGTGATGTGATGGTGGTTTTTTTTTGCATTGGGCAGTTCCAGCCCTATGTGGAGTTAGATGAAACTGCTTCAGGTGCTTCAGCCACCAAAAACCATTCTATGTGCAATTATACATACCAAACTGATGCAAAGGAAATGAAGAGACCGTAGTTAATTAGCAGATCAATTCTCACACAGCTCTCAGGCATTGCCCTGAATTGTGTATTTACCTGCTGTCATTTACGGGACAAGTCCCTTACCTGCTGTTTCTGGCTTCTTCTAAAACACATGAGAAAAAGAATGATTCTGTAAAGGCTTCTGGAAGCCCTAACAGTACTTGTCTGAAGCCAGCATCTGCTTTTCTTTTCTATCACAGTGATGCTGATAAAAAGCTACATGGAGTTCACATCAGTTGTTCTGAGCCAGCTGTTCTAGCAAGAATATTTTTTGCATTAATTAGAAAACGTGTTTTTTCTTCATAAAACCATTGGTCACTCGGGCCAGCTAACTGAAGATAACCATGAATCTCAGTGTTAAAGGTGGATCCCTGCTCAGTTCGTAAATGGGAAAGGGTGACAAAGTTTAGAGAACGTGTAAAAAAAGGCCAAAGGATGAAAATCTGTAGACTGAAAGAAAATATCCATTCATTCACTAATGCTGCTAGTTATTTTCTAAAATTTATGAAATACTAAACCAGGTTTATGTATGAAGAGTATTTTGTTAAAAAATAAAAGAGAAATAGAGACCAAGCACTGTTAATTTAAATTTGTTTTAATACATTTTTAAGGAGAAAATAAACAGGTGTGGATCAAAAATCATCAGAAAAAAATCTGCATAAAGTGTAAGTATAGATTGCACATTTACTATGGAAATGCTTAATTTTCTTTCCTTTTATAAAGTGCATTATGCCAGAACTGTAAGACCATATATAGCCAAATTAAAAACTTTACAAAATCTTCAAATTCCTATCCTGCATGTGTTAGGAAGTGTACACCTGACTAGAAGGCCATATTGTAAGGGTAAGTGTGAGAAAATATGTCAAACACATTACTGTGCAGGTGTGAAACAGTAATTGCTACTTTTAAAAAACTATAACCTTTATCACAAATTATGGCATTTTGGTAAATGTTTACCCTTATTCTTCCATCCAGATACTGAACAGGATGATGCATCAACCAGTTTTAGCCATTATTATTGCATTTGGCTGGGGAGAAAGAAGTAGTTAAATTCAACACAGTGACTGTTATTAAATGAAATTCCAAACAGTACAAAACAATATACATGGGAAACAGCCAAAATGAAGGGAAATCTACATTAAAATGTTCTTATTAAGCATTGTGTCACTCAGTAGACTAAAGAACTTTTTGATAAAAGCCTGAACTTAGTCACATTTAACTCAATGACAACACATGAAATTTAATAGGAGTAGAACTTTCATTTAAAATATCCATGCTATGAAATGAAATGTATATTACTTTTACAGTAACAGTCATGGGATAATTGGCTATTACATCATGCCCACTGACAACCTCACTGGGTTTTTGATGAATCCTTGGAAGCAAAGACAGGCCATGTGGATCTTACAGATACTTAATGGAAAATGGAAAATAAAAAGATTAGGTGAACAAGAGAAAGTAATCCTGTGAAAATTAAACTATAAAACCTATTATCTTCAATATGCCAAATACTCAGTTTAGAGTTGATCATTTAATCCAGTTATTCAGCACACGGAGTGGCTTCTTAGTCATTGTGGACTTTGCCTATAAATCAACCAAAGCTTAAATACAGCAGAAACCTCCTAGCACAAATGCACTGATGAAGATGGGGCCAGGAAAAGGAACGGCTCTAGATCATTCAGAAGGCAAATGTCACAAGGTTAAGCCATGTGAAAACAAAACTTAATTACTATACCTCCAAGCATCTTTATGCTTAAATTACCTCATATAAATGAGGAACACTTCACAGTGCTTGTAATAATTAGCACTTACCAAGCACCTTTCAGAAGTGCTTTGCAAACATTAAATAAGGTCAGAAATCTCATTGCTCTTCCATTAGAATACCCATAAATATGATGGGGAGAGCTTCCTCATCAATTCAGAGGAAGAACTGCAGGGCTCAACCCAGGGACCTCCAAAAGGCAGTGAAGATGTTTTTCTAATTGCCATTTTTACAGATTGCAAAAACAGCAGCAGTGAGATCAAACAATTTGTCAAGGGTGACCAAGGAAGTTGACACTGAATTAAAGATTCACAGTTTGGGGCTCTGGTTTTGGTTTTTTGTTCGTTTGTTTTTTGTTAGAGAAAAAGGGACAGAGTCCATGATGAACTGGGGCACGAAGAGACTGCACTGCAGCTGGAGGGTGTCAGAGTTCTGCCTTACAAGCAGCAATACAACCATACACAGCTACCTTTAGTGCTTTGTACTGGTACTTCTTTAAGTCCTGCCTGACACAAATGGCTTTAAACATTATCTGCTGTTCAACACTGAGTGAGAAAAGACACAGGGGATGAGTAGGACACAAGATTCTCCGGACAGGTTTTCCTTTTCCCCCATCTGGAATGCCAAGAGTGTAATTGTTTGCACCCTTGGAGTGACCATCTCCGAAAAGGGATATTTTCACACACTGCATAATGGCATTACTGAGGTTGTGATGCCATTTCCACAGCCCTTGGAAATGATACAAAAATATTGTCATAGCTCTCTGATGCATAAATAGAAAAGGAACATTTATGTGGAAAATTTCACAGATAGGGAATAACCCCATCTCTAGTGTATTCTTTTTCCTCTACAAGAGGAGTTTTTTGAGAGCTCTTGATGCATAACCATTATAAATTAGAAGATCCACAAAGAAATCCAAGTGTATTCTTGAAGATTCTGGGATCTCTCCATGGTTTCTACATGTCCCAACCCTGGCTGTCACTTGTCATCCCTTTCTATAAATAGTCATTACATTTTGCTGAGGAAGGTCAAAATGAGTGAGGGGTGTAAATACTGCAGCAGTCATCATTGAGTCATGCCTTGATTTATTCTTGGAAACCCAGGAGCTGTGGAAGTGAGTGCCTCACAGAACTGCAAGTCACAAGTTCCTCAACAGAGTACTACAGTAAAACTTTGGAAACTACAGTCACAGCACTAGCAGGAAGAAATGTCTCAGGTTCATGGAGAAAATGCAGTGTGCTGTCTCAGCTCCACTCTCCCTGTGTGTTTTGTAACTTGAGGACTCTCTTCCTTCCACCTTCACTCACTCCTTTCCCCTACTGCTTAAAATAAAGGCTGCACACCTGACAGCCTCCAGGCTGTTAGTACACAGGATAGTTCAAAGCATTATTAGACAGGTCAGCTTTCTCCAGTTTGGCCCCGCTACAGATGTTATCTCAGTTCCTACAATAGGCTTTATAAGAAATATATTTTAGCTGCTTTCCATTCATTTCAATAGGTCATTAAAAGTAATTATATAAAAATTATAGATAATTGTGTTTGCTTTGCTTTGTGCAGTCAAAAATACCTACCTAACTTTGCTGTATTTTAGAAACTGAAAATCTTTATAATTCAACCAATTTCAGTGCATGGTACCTATCTTAGTACTGCCAACCCAGATATACAGACATTTTAACATTTGAAGTTGAAGAACAAATCCAAGTTTCACAATTCTAAAGTTACCCAGTAGCTACTGGAAAAGGCTTAATACTGGTTTCAACAAGAGGTAACTCTATATAGGTGTAAAGTACTTCCAAATAGTAACATGGATCAAATTTAAAAAAACCTTTCCTTATTTTGTTAGGAATACTTTTTGGACTTTTTTTAAAGATGGCCAACAAGGAGATTTTACACTGAATTTACCGAGAACTTAAAGATAAATAAAACGTTACAATACAGAATATATGTTGTGTTTCTATTCAATTCCTAGAAGAATATGTTTGTTTTAAATAGCATTTCCATTTAAAGAGGGAAGCAGTAAGGGACTGATGAACGCCACGTTGTGCTTCTCATCACTGGAGTTCTTCATTTGTTTAGAACAGCTGGATCATCGACTCTCTTGATTTCCCAACTCCAACCCATTTAACTAGGGAGGAAAACACATCTGTTAGAACAATTACCAAGACTAAATATTGCAGTCAATGAACTGGAATAATTTTCACCTCTCATCATGCTTCACTGCAAACTGGACAAATTTAGGAAGGAAGTTTCGTTGTCAAAAATCCCTTTACTCCAGCTGCACTACCAGACTAGAAAGTGCAGTATACTGAAGGTTGAAAGCATGAAATAATTATACCATAAACACAAAGTATTGCAGGTAGAGGGCCTAATAGAAGGTCAGGCACATTTGTTGCAGGTTTAACTGTCCTTGTCTTGAGTGACAGGATGTTTAGCTACATCCCTACAGAGAGGAAGCCAGAATTCTGCCAGACTCTGAAGTTTTTTGTGATGTGGAGCAGGAGATAGTGATACCCATGTGCCATAATATTGATAAATATGAGGCCGCAGTTATAAACGTTATCCAGTGTGAGCAGTAAATTCCATACTGTAACGGTTCCACTACAGTTTTATTGCCCATAGTTACTAAAGAATTGACTGTAGGTAAGTCTCTTTTATCAAACTCACCAAGGCAGCCTGCTTTCACAGAGAGAACCAGAGAAATAAAGTAAGGGGAGCTTTATTTACATATCCCTTCACCCACATCTGTGTCCTTGACCACACACAGGCCATTCACTGAGTTTCAAGCTCTGCTATCAGATGCTTCCTGATCCATGAACAATACTGGAACCGCCACAGTTTTAACCAGCCCATACTGCTCTGAGGCGACCTTTGAGGTGCTTTATGGAAAACAAAAGCACACCTACCATCTTTCCAAGCTTGCTATTGTGGAAATTCCCCTGCAAACTCCACCATTTATGCCACACCTAGCTCTTGGCACCTCTAGAGCTCTAGAAGAAAACTGGATGGCTTGACCTTTGGAGATTGATGTGTTAAGATTTTCAATTTTTCCAAAGTGGTAGAACCGGGCTAAACAGTCTCATCTCTGTTATGCAATACCTCTCCTTATATGAGTAAGAATGGAAAAAAAAGTTCTCTGTTCAGAGAGGGATGCAGTGCAGGATGCAGAGAGAAAGGAAGAGATGAGGATGTTAGCCCAAACACACACTGAAGCATGGTGCACAGACCCCAAAGTTTTCACTGACAGAAGGTGGCAGTTTGCCAAGAACAACACACATTTATCTTTCCCCGGTTAAATCCTTGCCAGCAGCAGCTTGGGGCTCTCTGCAGCACTGCAGACCTGCATGCTGAACACCCTTTGCTGCTTTCCTGGCAAGCTGTCTTTTACCACCATCAGCCCAACCACTGGTACTTCTTCTGTTGCCTCCTGCCCAAACCGAGCGACTTCTGACTAACATACTGAGAGCTTCCATGGAGCTGTGCCTGCCTCCTGTGGCATCCTCATATGGACACCTGCAGAAAGGTTTACCTGGCACGCCAACATGGTTTTCCACACAACGGATGTAATTCTGGGCCTTGGGTGGGAGGTCCTCCCATTTTCGTGCTCCAGTTGTGTCCGTCTTCCACCCAGGCATTGTTTCATATTCTACTTCCACTTTCTGTAGTATCTCCTGATTAGCTGTGGGAGAGCAATTTTTTGTCACAGTTGATTTTAGCTGCTCCACCTTAATAGAACATATCTATGGTTCTTGACCAAAAAAGTCTTTCGACAACATTTAAAATCTGATATATGAAGAAATAGTATTTTTACTGTTTTTCCATTAATTCGCTCATTCTTAATTTAGATTTATTTACAACATTTAGGAAGAAAAGTCTGAGTTAAGATCCAGAAATCCAGCTTCCTCTTCTAAAAACTGTAGGATGCACTCTATTCTGTCAACATAGAGTCAACAAAAACACTACTGTTTTATTTTTGAGGAAATAGATTTTTTGAGGTTTACAGTAGTTCCTCTTTTTGTTTTAGACTAGCACATAATAAAACAGTAGACAAGGCACTACTGTCTCAAAGGTCTTTATCTTTATGGAATAGGGTTAAATCAGGCTTGTGAAAAACTCAGATGTTTGCAAGCTTTTCCCCCCTGGAATTTTCACTGTGTCCACACCAAGGAAGTACAAGCAGTGGTGGAAAAGCTGGCTGCTGCCAGCCCACCCCGTGCCTCCAGAATCCCCCATCTCAACAGAACCAGCCCCTCATCTTGGCACAGACTGTCACAGGGATCTTGAAAACATAATTAATGTAAAAAAAATTACATATTATTACATCTTAAAAGTTTTCACATGAATCATTATCGAGGGGCAATATATACTTTTATTAACCACAGTGTTGTTGCTGTTAATTCCAGAAGCAGCTTTATTCTGAATGTATCCACCTCATATTTGCACAGCTTAAGCACTGCTTTTATTATAACTTTACTTCACTAAAGGCTATTGCCAATGATACGGAGTCACTGACTCGAGTCTTGCTGACTTTCAGATCCCTGGTGTTGCCAGTAAAAAATCTAATGGGACAAGACATAGAAGCCCTAACACAAGACTTTATTTCCTCTGAAGATCTTGCCATTGTACACAGACTCAAGGTAAATTAAAAAGTCAGTGTACTGGTACAGCTGCCTTTACACAGATACTGCAGCTCCACAAATTGCTACAGAAGGTCCAGCAAACAAGAAATCAAGCCTGATTTTAAAAAGCCAACAGTCTTTCCCAAGAGGTGTGACTTAACTGGCAGAAAAGATAAAAATGAACATAGATGTTTAACAGCTTACCTGGAAAATATGGAATTCTTTTTCCACCCAATTTGTAGGCAACACCAATTTTAATTTCATCAAGGACATCGAGAATATCCAGTTTTGTTAATGCCAAACTGCACAGAAAAACATCAGTTAAAATTACACATATAATGATCTCCTCTTCAATACTTTCCACCTTTTCTTTTTTCCCTTTCCAAAGTCCAGCTCAGGCAGCCCAGCCAGCAGAAATACATAAATGCATTAAACTATGAAGACTGTTAATTCAATTCATGCCTCTGGAATGAATACATGACTGAGTTACTACAACACATTTCCCAATTCTTGGCTGCTCACACAGGTGCACAGTGTTCAGCTCAGTGCATGAAAATGCACACTAGGTGAAGTGGCACTTGAGGGGCCTGGTTTGGGGGGGGGGTACAACATTTGACATTATTGACAGTGACTTTTCAGTACTCCTACTGATTCACAACAACTCTATGACAGATTTATTTACTAAGTTACATTTTTATAACAGAGCAAGCATGGTCTGGTTACTAAAACCACATCTGCAGTTCAGTAGGAAGGATCCCAGCCTGACTTTCAGTGCCTGGGATGTGCTGTCAGTTTAATGAACCTTTTTCATCTTGTGAATGAACCAACTGGTACACAAAAATGGAACCTCAAGAAGATAGTTCTTCAACTTTTCAAATGTTTTTATCTGCTCATGTTTTTTCACTGTCACAGCTACCAGAGATGATGCAGTTTTATTGATAAGAGGACAGTAATTGTATAGAACTGAAATAAAAGGCAACTTAATGACTTCTTAAAGCTATTTCCACATAAACTAGAGATGTCTAAGTTAAAGCAAAATATAAATCCAAGTAAAAAAAAAACAAACCAAAACCTAAAAGTCCTTCTGATAAATTAATGAACAAGACCATTGTTCCTTTGTAATATCAGTAGTAGCATAAACAATATTAAATTAAGTCTCAGTTTATAATACATTAAAATTCCCAGAGTCATGTGTTTGCATATATGAACAAGTTTGCCTGAATGCATCAGTAAGTCTACACCTCATATGAACAGAACTGTTACGAAACTTTTGCAACTTTTTCTGAAGATACAGATTGGTAGTTAGTTACAAATTAACGCCTTGTGATAGCTACTAGTATTTTAGCACTAGACATAAGCTAGCTTGAGGGCATTATGGTCATGAACAGCTCCTTTAAACAGCCACTTTTCCTGTAAAATGCCAATTTTATATGTGTTTTGAATTATAAAATATTTTATCAACCAAGTAAGTCACTTCATCCCAAAGAAAAAAAATGTCAGCCCATTAAAAACAGAATTTATAATACAACATTTGACTGTGCCTTTGTAAATAAATGAACTTGGAATGAAAACTGTGCCAGCCACTATATACTTGGGGTCATCCCATTTATTTCACTTATAGAGGCAGTGGTTCCAAATGATGCAGAATTGGTCCTACAAGTAGGATCCACTAGAGGCAACCAAAGCTCAAACCCAGCACAAGACAGTATGAAAGCACTGGATCAAGAACACTAGAGCAAACTGTTAGAAAACTGATACATTGATCCAATCTACACTGGCCATCTGAGGTAAGCAAAGTGAAAACATATACCAAAAAAATCACTGCTATGATGTCGTAAAGTTGCTTAATTAAAAAAAAAAAAAAGGAATTAGATTATTATTAGCATTAAGACAATTCTCAGTTGCCCACTGTGAATTAATGTATTGCTTAAAATGTAACACTTTACTGGACTTATATTAATGTTACCTACATATTTATTCTGCGAAGCACAAAATTATCACTTCCAAATGTAGCGCAAAATCTTTGATGCTTACGCAGTGAATCCGTTGATCATATGAGCATATTTCAAAATGACAAGATCTAACCAGCCACAGCGTCTCTTTCTGCCTGTAGTTACTCCCCACTCGTGGCCACGGGACTGTAAAAGATCTCCAATTTCCTAAAATAAGACAGAAAGAATGCTGATGGTATCTCACTGAAAAACTGCATGAACAGCAAGAAGAATATGTTCAATTTCAAGGCTTTTTTTTTTAAGCAAAAATGAAAAAAAGTTAAGTTTTACTAGGATGGGACTAAGGCAGAGAACAAAGTCCCTCATGAACAGGATTTTTGTATTGCAATCATTAGCATTCCAAACCACTTATTTAATATGACTATTTCATGTTCCAAGGAGACACTTTTCTTCCTTCTTCATCTAAAAGGAAGATTTCCTTGGCAATTCAGCCATCTTTAAAATTGTGTTTGCTTCATCTGGTCTTTTGGCATCTATTGTTTTTACAGACAAGACTGTAAATGCTTGGGACAAGACCAATGCTTGTACAATATCTAGGTCAGACTCCATGTCCATGTCAAGTGATCCCTGGTTCTACCACAGTATGAAACTGTTCCTTTTGGACTGGCAGTGTCTATAATGGGCTAACAATGAAGAAGGAAGAAACTTCATGTTCATGATCCATAAGCTTAAAGGATACCACTAACCCATTTGAGTTATTAGAGAAAGGATTTTAGTGACTAAATCCTTAAATTGGATTCGGAACACTGACCTAGAGATTGCCATGTGCATAGCTCATAAACAATACCTAAGCTTCTAGTTTCTTGCTAATGAAAATACAGTAGACAGTTTAAAGTAATCAAAATCTCTCCCCTTCTTTTTATTGATCAATTTGTGCATGACTGGCTGATGCACATGCCACATTTATTCTATAAATCACACAGAACACAGGCTATTAAGCTCAGAAGTTTTATCTTGTAATTTACGCTCTCCTTTGACGTGCTGACAGTTCCAGTCTACAACAAACTCTCACCACTGAAATACACCTAAAGATCTTATATAAGATGATGAAATCTGTTTTCACATAATTCACTACAACAGAAGCATGGTCCCTGCAATATAACATCATCACACTGATGAAAAATACCTTAAGTCTGTAATGTAATTCTCCTCTTCACGAGCGCCATTGCTCGGCATTATTATTACAGTGCTTATTTATTCCTGGTATACCCTTACCCCATTCCATTGGCAACTGTATACATCACATTTTGTAACGTTAAACCTACATTAATCTGCTCGGTGGGGAAGGCTCCAATTCCCACCCGAGTGGTGTAGGCCTTCACCACTCCATACACATCACCCACGTGCTGGGGAGGGACACCAAGCCCGGTGCACACACCGCCCACGGTGCAGTTCGACGAGGTCACGAAGGGATACGTGCCTGTCAAAACACAGCAGCACAACCCTGTTTCAGCAATGGTAAGAAACAAAGACTGTTTTTCCTTTATCACTTCAAAGGAGATTTTCACCTCTATGTTTGGCTTTAAAGCTAAACTGAAACAGCAGCCAAAGAGCGGGGAAATTCTTCTTGCTACATGTCATTTATTGTTTGTAACTTTCACTGAGAATGGCCCACAAGGGAGAAGCTAAAAAGCATCTTAATACTACATCCATTAGGCATGGGATCTATTATAAGATGCTGCTGCTGTGTAAAGCTTTTTTTCAATGTCTTGTGTATCACAGAAAGTATTTCCACTACATCCATAGAGAGCCTGGTGTAAAGGTCACGGTCCGACATTCCAAATGCTCTACACAAGTGGCTCTGAGTATCTGCCACAAATTGTCTAAGTCTTAAGAGGTTACTCATAATCTCTACACCGTGACTCCTGATTGGAGAATCTCTCAATTCTTCATTTCATTTTCATTGAGAACTAGGTTGTTTAATTAGACTTTTGGTAAGAAAGCAGAGCAGAGACAAACTGAAGCAGCAAGACTTACAGGTTACTGCATGAGTTTAATCCTCCCTCCACTGCAGAGGAATTATCTCAGCAGCACTGCAATGAGTGCCTGGATTGTCTGGAAATGCATACACTCATATTTAAAAGTAATAAAGACAATAATGTCTGGAATGAAATTTCAACTCCACTGGAATAAACTTCTCTAAAAATCAATTTTTTAAACCCTAAGTATTTAATCCTGTTAATGATACAATTCCTGTCTTATTTGTGCTTTACCTTCTGGAAGATCTGTTCCTATTAAGGAAAGACTATTTTGTTTCCCTATTTTCCTGCTGTTTGCCAAGTCAATATAAACTGAAATCAAAATAAAACTAATCAAAATAAAACCGATCTCTTAGGAGTTAAACTGAGTTTAGAATATGACTTACCAAAGTCAATATCAAGTAATGCTGCATTGGCTCCTTCAACAAGGATCTTCTTTGGAGAGCCATGAAGAGCTTCATACATAAAATACACACCATCTCGAACCATGGGTCTTATTTTTTCAGCATATCCCTGCAAATTGAGTACAAATGTCAGCTTGCCCAGATAGTGGCTGGAAGCAGGGAATACTCTGTTCACGTTTGAAGGACAAAACATGCAGATAATTCTAAGCTTCCAGCCTCAATAACTGTGTTTTCCTGAAAAATACAACCACTGGTTTATAATTTGAAAACAAATCAATCTATTGAACCACATAAGAAAAGATGACCTATTATGGCATTAGAATGCCATAATTTCTGTATAATTTCTGTTCACAGAGGTGTGGTATACTTAGCAAATTTTGTTGCCGTAGTCTCTAGATAGTGTGTTGATAGCCTAGACACACTGAGAATGGGACTTAGAAATAGTGCAAGCACCAGAAGAAAAAAAAGATCACTCCTTTTGAATATTAAAAAATATCTTTAGGGTGTCAGCTCTGAACAAGTGTGAGATAAAACTTGGGAAAGGTAAGAGATATTTTTACCATCCTCTTTTCTCACATATTCATGAAAGAAGCTGTTTTATCAGTGTCTCTTCTAAACCTATTTATAAAAAGACAATTTTCTTGTAATACCAGGATCCTGAAAAAGGTTTCCACAAACATTTCTTCATGGAAGTCCATCAGAAAGACTGGAGAACACTAACTGAAATTCTCACCCTGCATTCTCTTGACTACTTTAATACAAGTCATTTTAAACAACGCAAAAAAGTAAAATATTACAGGAGAATTAAATCATCCACAAAGTTTAAATTAATGCCTACAATAAGAGAAAACATTCTATTACAAAGCATACTTACTGCTTATTAAAGTTTTTATAACAATGAACGCATGCATTTTTCATATAAATTAGTTAATTAGTTTTATCAGTGGTAGTTCTAGTACACTTTGGTTTTACTTTTTAAATGAAAATAAATATTACAACTGTTAAATCCTTACCTTTAGCTTTTTCAGTTGTCCTTCTGTATCAATTTCCAACGTGGGAAACATTGACTTGTATTGCTGTGCCAGATTTTTAAATCTGAAAAATATTGAAATTGTATCTCTGAGGAACATAGTCACTGTTCACAGAACCTTTGGCAAGAGATCAGTTTATATTATTTGCAGCATATACTGAGAGCTACAGGGAGAAAATACCAGGACCTTGATACCTCAACCAGTGCACTTCCCAATGTACAAAATTACATTTTAAATTATGAGAAAATCTGTGAAGTACACAAAATACACACACATTCTTTCCAGTTTTCTTCTCCTTCTAGACAATTTATATACAAAATTCAGACATATATTTAAAAACATCCCCTCAAAAGCAAATCTGTCAGCCAAAATATATCACTCTTTAACATAATATTTAGAAACGAAAATAGTTTTACCTTGAAGAAAATTCATCAAAGTCAGAAAGGAGGTCACAAATCCGAAGGCCTGTTCGTGCAGCTTTGGAAGAATATGTTGGTCCAATCCCCTTCTTCGTTGTGCCAATACTAAGTGAAAATAACACCCACCCCACCCCAACATGTATAAATATATGCAAAAATACACTTTATGCCAAGTAATTTTGTTAAAGCTCTTCACTATATCACATATTGGGCAGGAGGTCTGAGACATAAAAAGATATTAAAGTTCTATAATAACAAATATATACCAACTTTCAGGCTTTGCATAAATATTGCTAATATTTGTGGTACGCAGTGAAGCCTTGAGTCGGGCTGACAGTTTGTTAGTTTGTTCACTAACATAAGTAGAAGCAGAACTGAGTCACAGAATTAGTAATATCAACAAGACTCTTTAGAGATGCACTGCACTTCTGTTTTCCAAAATTACACCATTTTTTTCAAATTTGCGTAACTATTAATGAAACTAGGGAGTTGAAAATATTTACTTTTTGCCTTCTTGTGCTTGACGCTGCACTTCCTGGAGCCCATCTACTGCCTGGTGAAAGTCAAACACTGCAATGGAAAATCAAATGGATTTAGTGGAAGACCAAAGGAGAAAAACATTCTTTACATCACGGACATCCATAATTTCAAGACAAAGTGCCTTTACTGTCACTGACAGTGCACAGGCCTCCTCAAGAGAAAACAGAGCGAGTATTCCTTAAAGGTTGTGAAAACATGTAAAACATCACTCTTCAGTGGCTACAAATTCCATTATTATCCTTCAGACACACAACATATAAAGAATATAAATATATAAAATACATCACTGCTCTGCAGGATAATACTTTAGCATCGTGAGCTAAGCAATCATGTGCAAGGTTTTTTTCCCCCTTCAATCGTCACTTACCTATATGTGCTCTATCTGATATAATCAGTCTTTTCTCCCAATCTTTTAAACCTGTCAGAAGATATAAAGAAAGGTAGGATTTCAGCTGTGCTGATTGGTCAAACTTTGACACTGACTTTCAGTTTTTCTATGCTTTTCTTCAAATTTATATAGCTTCTTGTTAAGAAGACTCCAGATAAAATCTATAAACCATAAGCAAACATCAAATACAGCAATGTTTCTGTTAACAAACTTTTCTCATTTTTAAATTATCAGCTTTCTCATTTTGGCCTGGAAAAAGATAGTCACTTCTTAATGCCATAATGCTGTGGCTTACACAGAATTCTTACTTCAAGGAAATCTTGTTTAACTCACTATACCATACATCATTTAAACTCCTTTTGTGCCTCAGAAAATAGAGGATTTCTATATAGAAACATAAAACAATCTAGGTAGTAAGGGACCTTGGAAGGTCATAGGGTCCAAAGCCTCACTCAAAGCAGAATCAACTGAGTTTATATTTGGGCACAGAAACTCTGGGTTAAATCATCTCAGTTTGAGGTCAAAGGGAGCTTACCACACACTTTAGGATTTATTTTCCATCTAGTGTGGTTTCAAATGCCATAAAACTCCCCAAAACACATGAAAAGATTGATTTTGAAAATATGTCTGAAGACTACAACACAATTAAACATTTTAAATACTGTTTTTAAAATCCCGACTGTTATTGCACCAAGTACTTACGGCCAGAAACAACAGCTTACAAAAACCCTCAACCTGGCTGCCAATATAAAGGTAGGTTAAAAATTACTTGATACAAACCTTTCTTTTCATTCTTTTCAGCTTCTTCAAACAGGCCTGGTAAATGTATAACCACTCCATTACCTTTGGGAACATAAATGATTTATTTTAAAGCGAGGAATAAAATACTCACTCTTAGGAAGTAAGGCATTGTAAACACTTGCTGTCTGAAGTTTTATTTAAAAAGTAAAACTAAATTTCTCACAAAGTGATCTTGAGAACTTTTTGGATAAATCCTGATTCTGGGTAAGCAGCTACTAGCCTGCTAAAATCAGGAAAACCAGAGCGGGCTTGTTTCAGGCGTGAACGCCAGGCTGCTGCACAGCCAGCTGAGGTAAGCAGATTCTTGTCTTTGTTTGTGGTGGACTTTGCCCCACGACTTCAGCCTCAATTGTTCACAGGGAGAAGCTCAAAGAAGTCCGTGGCCTTACCACACTGACAACCCTGCGTGAAAACACGTAAATTTTCTTCAATACTCAGGTATTTGTTTTAAACTCAGCTCGAACTTGTGCTGTAATGCATTAGCAATGCTTCACCCCTGCTTTTGAGTACAACATAGAATCCACAAGCAATACAGGGCAGTGCTGGCGAGATGTGGAGGATTAGTGATGCAGTGGGCTGGAAACAGCTGCTGCCTCCTTGGGAACGTCAGAAATACATGCAAGAGCCTGTCTCAGCCTAAATTTAGCAAAACTTAAGTAATAGTCATTACTAATTGACAAGGGAGTAAAACAGAAAGCAAGATAACACAGCATATTTAGCTGAGAGGAAAAATATGTTTAATATATTTTGATCATTTATTTGGAAATTATCAAATGGAAAAAAACTGAAAGTCCATGACTCACTAAAATTAGACTCATTTCTTGCACAGACTGTACATAATTTCTGTCAGAAAGAATCATAAGTTTGGGCCTTAAATTTGCCTATCATTTGAATATGAGTTTAATGTCCAGTAGACAACGCAAACCTTTTTATGATGCCATCTGCACCAAATATCTTTATAACAAAATACAACATCACCCTAAACAGCTGGTACTGTGAACAAAAAGGAGACTGGATGACAAGCAGAGTCTGGTATCTTGGGGCCTGCTTCTGAAAAGTCAGTAAAGAGATGTCAGAGATAAATTATATTATTTATTTAGCCTAAGTCCTGGGGTTTTTGTCCTCAAAGAATAGCACACAGATTTCTGACAGTATAAAAGGAGTGTACAAGTGGAATCCAAACTTGCACCATAAAGTATAAGAAGGAGTAAAATGATAGGAAGAGGGTGTTCTTGCTCTCAGCTTTCTAACAGCAGAAACTAAACTGACACTGAAAGTAGAGTAATTCTTCATGATAAAGCAGCAGTGGAATAGAAGTCATACAGCTGAAGCAAATCTGACTGTCACTTATATGATTTTCTTTACTTGTTACTAAAACATACAGTTGCAGCTATCCACTATACAATGTTATTTTAGATAATAAATCGCATAATTGTCTTACCAATAAAAGAAATTGCCTTTGGATTAATGATGCCACTAGGAAATAGGTGAAAATCATATTCTTTCCCATCAACGACGACAGTATGGCCTGCGTTGTTCCCACCCTGCAACAGAAAGAAACACCTGAAGATTAACTGCCTTGTATCATCACCTGAAACTCTCAACAGATGATCTGACAAGACCATCTTTTTTTATTTTAACATATCTTTGGTCACTGCTTTCTCCACCTTACAGTTTCTTGTGAAAAGGTCTCAGATAGGACAATGAGGAGGCTGAAGGATTTCAGCAAGACTGTGTAGAATTATGAAGCAGAACAATACCATGGAGTCAAGGCAGGGCTGGGGCAGAGCAGGAGTAAACCCAGGAGTGGTGACAGAAGCTAGAAGAGAACTGAAGCTTTCTGGGAACAAAATTGGAATTAATTACCACCCCTGGAGTCTTGTCTATGACATGCCTGCACAAGCCCATCCTTTTTAGGCATCTTCTCTACATGGTCATTTCCTTGGGTTTAAGCCTACAATGCCCAGTATTTCCTCTTGAATGGAAGCTCTTCCTGCTGCCCACCTAGAAACAGCTACTGTTTCTCTTCGTGTTCAAGACAGAAGGTCTTTGTAAAAGCAGGAGCATGTGTAGTCTTGGCAGCTTCACTGAACGTCCTTGTCAGTCATAGAATATCCCTAGTTGGAAGGGACCCACGAGGATCATCAAGGTCCAACTCCTGGCTCTGCACAGGACCACCCCAAGAAATGGTCAAGGGATGATCTTCCCAGTTGTCGCCACCACCACTTTATAGAGTCTGCTATAATCCATGACTTACATGACTATCTACCAGGACTTAGAATAGGTTATTTTCCTCAATAAACTGCTTTTTCACAAACAGTTTTAAAGTTTTAAAAGAGAGTGATGCAACAACACACTGTGATGGTTTCAGTCTAGGCCTTCCTGGAAACCAGCTTGTAACCAGGAAGGAACTAGGAAGGTGACCAAGGAAGTATTCCATGCTATTCCTTTACGTAACCTAGGGTATAAATAAGGCATTGATAAGATAGTTCGCTCTTTTCTCTTCCGGCGAGGTTGGAGAACGGTGGTCCCTGTCTGGGCCTGGCTTATCTGGAGCTGAGGCCTACAGTAACTGCTGTTATCGGCCACGCGTGAGGGGGGAGTGCTGGGCTGTGTCCAGACGTACTGCTTTCTTTCAAGGGAAGTGGTGAGCTCTTGCCAATTCTTCAGCTTTGCTGGGTTTTTAGATTGTGTAGATCTGTTTTACTATTTGTCCCTTTTCACCCTATTTTATCCTTTTCCCTTCTCCCTTCCCCCCTCTTCCCTTCAACTTCGGGAAGCTACTTGGGGTCATAGATTTATATACATATAATTCTCATTGTATATCTCTGTTTTATACATAATATATATATATTTTTGCTAGAACTTTGGCTGCCTGGTTTTTTTGTTTTTTTTTCCCTTCCCTCTCTGGGAAGGAGATCCTGTTGTCGAGTTTCGGAGACTTGGCAGGAAGCCAACTCCAAACTTGCACAACAATTTTGGTGGCAGCGGCAACTTGGAAAGAGGTGAGTAAATCAAGGCCATGAATTGATTTGACCAGCAACTTAAAGAGTTTTAAAAATTAAAGGTCCAGTTTTCTCAGCAGGCTTAATGTTTGTTGCTGTTCTGTCTTGATATAACTTCGTCTCCTACTGATAAGGTTGGGAAATCTGACTACTTGTCTGCTCCAGTGCTACAGGCCTTCAGCTTTCCAAAACACTTATAAATCTTCGTGGACTTGAAGTGATGTCTGAATGATGTAAAACTGTCTAGAATGAGGGTATCTGCTGGGAGGAGAACTGAGACTGTCATTGGTGATTTGCAGACAATGAAGAGTGTTGGCTGAATGAATGCAGTTATATGAAAATTCTGAGAAAGGACAGTCATTTATAAAAATGAATACTGTAACACATGTTATTCCAGAGTTTCATTTACCCTTCATTTACTGATTTGCCCTTTTGTTTGTGTGTAAAGTACAGGAAAGTGGCAACTGGCAATCCTTTCAAAATGTGGATAAATACTGAACACAAAAATAAGAAAAGAAAAGCTACGGCTTACAGAAAAAGAATTTTTTTTTTAGCACTGTGATGGAGGAAAACTAGGAAATATGCCTTCAAATACGACAAAACTAAATTTCATGCTCTGGAAGATGTGAGCTCAACAATGAATTTTAAAGTGATAATCTGCTAAGGGAGAGCTGAGTAGGAGTTATAACACAAATTTCATTTGATTAAAAAACTTCAGGGTAGCTCATCCTTGAGATGGAAAGGATTCCCAAGTATCTTGCTAACACAGAATTATAACTTGTCCAGAGAATCCTGAAGGAAGTTGAACCACCCTGGGTATTTTGTTTGCCTCCCAGATATAATAAAGCAGTTGTAGGATCCTGGATCTAGTTAAGAGTATTAAATTACCTAAAAGGTTAATAAATCAGGTAGGAGAGTCCTTTACATGGTATTTAAGAGGTCTGACACAGGATGGATTGAACTGGTTGAAACACTGGTTTATTTTATTATACTGGTATCAGGCTGAGAAAGAGACTAGTAACTTCTGCTGGGACTGCCAGTGTTCTCTTTCTGCTCACCCATTGACGATGGCAAGATGGAAACTTTAAAAGAATTAACTCCCTCATTTAACATTGATTTAATTTCTACAACAAACAACAATTTTCATGTTTCCTCAGAAAATGGGGAACCAGGCTGCTTCAAAAGTATTTGTTGTCACTAATGCTATAGTTATATTTTACTTAATCAACATGAATATGAACAAATGAAGTCAGGCTTGAGGACTCACATTCTGAGATAACAGCACTCCTAAATTATAGTCAAAGCCATTTTCTTGTATCCTGAAACTTCAGAAGTTGGGATACACCAGTATGAGAATATTTATGAAAGACAGTTTATGCTTTTGGAAAATTTCCTGAACAACTGATACCCAGACAAATGCTGCCTCTTTCTTTAGCAAATGCTTAAAAGAGACTTTAATCAAGCAGCTGTGAAAGTTGGCATACATAAAAAAATTCTGAAGCACAGAAACACCAGCAGATCCGATACATCCTTCAATCCCAAAATATCTGAACACACTTTCAGTCTCTCTGGATAGATAACATGAATCAAGAATTCAGTGACAGACCTTATAAACCAGCATTTTTCTGGATTAAAGCTAGTATTGATAGCTCTGGTACTGCTTTTTGCAGTGGTCATGCTGGTCTGTGTTTTCTGAACAAGTGTCTTACAAGTATATTTTTACAGCTCAATTAATTACATTTTTGTAAATATAATTAAAAGTGGTAGCAGAGCATTGAATTGCCCAACAGACATGACCACACCTGCAAAACATAACACTGATCTGATGAGGTACTTCCTTTTTATTATCTGGTCATCTCAGTAGTTTCTCGTGTTCACTTACACAGCTATTCTAACCATATGGGCAGTCTAATAGCTCAGATATTGCAGACATTTGCTAAAGTTTTTTTACTCAAGTTCTGAGAGTCAATATAGGGGCCCTATGAGCCATTGCTTGAAATTGCTCGAAATATAAGGGAACCTAAAAGCTTGTACAGGCTTTATTTGAAGATTACATGTTTAAAAGCGCAGAAAACCTCCTGGTACAATGCAACCGTGTAAGCTCCCTTCTTTCCCTCAAATGGTATTTCAATAAAGTGCTGTGAACACTAATGCAGCAAGTGACAGTGTTCTCTGGACCCTCAGGATGCTTCCTGTTGGACCAAGAAACTTTTAGTGCCTCTGCTTGGCCCTTGCTTCAAACACATTTCTGCATAATGAACTTCCATTTAATATCCAGACTCTGGCATGCACCACTGAGCCCACCTGAAGTTTATTTATGTTTTACTGTTTGCAATTTCCCAGGTCACTAGAGATGGTATCTGCCGCCTTCTGCAGTACTTCAAACACATCTCTAACACAGGGAACATTAAGGCAACAACTTCTGACAGGTTAATCACCAGTGTCACTCTGGCATGATCCGCATTGGGAAATGATGGTATGACCAGAAATAACAATTAGCATTCACCTTCAAAGACTTGGAAGCCTGGGCACCCCATTAAACTACTCTGGTGTGGGAATTTCTGTTCCCAAGAAGGCACCAAAAGGCTCAGAGTGCAACTGGGATGACAGCAGTGACTTGAACATTAGTAACCCCTTCAACCCCAAACCTTCCTTACTGGTCCTGGAGTGATTCCAACAAGATCAGCAGCACTTGTATATCTTCTGTTCAGCCAGTTTAATCTCTAGTGACTCAATTAAGACTGTGCCACATGCAGGAAACCCTCCAGGTGCACGTGACAGGGGCTATCGATTACAGCAAACTGCAGCAGCGAAGCGGGGCTTGAGAACTGGGAAGTATTACACACACCACAGACAAGGGGATAGAGATTACTACTATAGTAATAAAGAGACCTACATATCATTTCAGAAGCTTGTCTCAAGAGAGCACACAAAATCACTTCCTTTGAGGCACTACCTAAATGCAGCAATGATTTTTGACTGCACAGCCACAGCTGGTGTTCTTCATACCAGCTACATTCAAGTTTTGGAGCACACAAATGCTTGTTTCTGGCTGTACTTGGTAGGTGTTAAAGTTGTTCCCATTTAAATCAGGCATCTAAGTAAAAAATAATTACTTCATTGAAGTAATTCATAGCTTTATTGGCTTTGCATGGTGAGGTTTTACTAGTGGGGTGGGGGCAGGGGCTACAGGGGTGGCTTCTGTGAGAAGATGTTGGAAGCTTCCACCATGTCCAATAAAGCCAATGTCAGCCAGCTCCAAGAGGAACCCACCGCTGGCCAAGACCAAGCCCAGCAGCAACTGGGATGGCACCTCTGGGATAATGTACTTAAGAAGGGGAAAAAAAACAACCAAAAAACCCAAAACAAAACCCAGCAACTACAACCAGAGAGAGAAGCAAGAATGTGAGAGAGAAACAGCTCTGCGGACCCCAAGGTCAGTGCAGGTGGAGAGAAGGTGCTCCAGGTGCCGGAGCAGAGATTCCCCCGCAGCCTGTGGTACGGATCCTGGTGAGGCAGCTGTGCCCCTGCAGCCCATG